GTTCCTAAGAACAAATATATGAACTCAGGCATATTCATTGCAGTGATTCCACTGATCCCACTAATTTTCTTAAATTATTAAAAGAATTTATTTCCATTTTATAAGCATTATTATGAATTTATTGTAGCAGGCACAGTATAGCACTATAATTTTGGACGATAGTCTCTTCTTTACCATTTGAAATTTTGAATTATATCAAATTTTGTTTCGTTGAAAACTGCACAGAGGCTCTCAGCTACAAAACAATTAGCTACAACCTGTTTTTGGTGAGATTAAGGCAAATTTAATTTAATAACTTAATCATGTAAGGTTTATCCATTTTCCTTAATAAGGTATTCATTTCTTTAATGTACATAAATATATAACTTTACTTTAAAAGGAATTGTAGGATCATCATTTAGATCCACATCAGATTATGAGCTTAAACAAAATTCATATGCTGAGATCGAACTTTTAGATATACATGTAAATGGTGTTTTCTAGTTAATACAGTGGGGTATGCTATAACGAACGGATCCTACTACGAATATTCCTATAACGAACGGTTTTACCTATAAAATTGAGAATGCTATAACGAACGAAACTCCTACAACGAACATTATTTATTTATTTATTTATTTTATTCATTTAATTTTTTTTTACTAATTTATTGTTTTTTTATTACAAGTATTAATGATACTCATTATTTCAGGGGTTTAGATGCATATTTATGCACTTTTTTACAATTTTTACAATTTTATATTATATTTTTCAGTGTTAAGCGGTTGTATTTGGGGGCCTGGAACGGATTAATCCTATAATGAACGAATGCTATAACGAACAAGGTTCTAGAACCAATTAGATTCGTTATAGCATACCCCACTGATATCTTGAATTCTTAATAAATTTATTTTTCTTTTGATTGAAACTTTGAAAGTCAAGCCTATCATCTTTTTGTAGTTCTTAAATATCGTCCAGATCATTAATAAAGCTGTAGCAGTATAGCCACGGTGTTTTACTTTTTACCTATGCAGGTTACAACATACAAATTACAATTAGGAGGGTAGAAATAGTTGTTACAAATAGGCCAAGGAGTCGGAGTCGGAAGCATAAAAATTTGAGGAGTCGGAGTCGAAGGTTTTGTCTTCGACTCCACAGCCCTGCTTCACACGAGTTTCTCTCATTTTGTACAGTGCTCATTCATGAGGGTTGTATGAGCTGTGGGAGGAACTAACTACTGTACAGCAATAAAAAAATACAATTATACAGAACTTTACCTGTACAATGCTCACACATTGTACTGTACAGTATAAGAACATAGTGTACAGTGCAGTACACTGAAAACTTACTTCAAAATACTGTGTTCTAATTAACCACTTTATAATAGATTGTGAAGAGTAAATGAGGAAACTGGACTCAATGTATATTCCTTGTATTAAAACTGTCAGTGAAAACCATATTACTATTAATACAGTATGCTGTACTGTACAGTACTGTATATCAAAAAGAGTCACATAAACAGTAGAACTCACCTCTGAGGCAATAAGCTCTAGGCCTCGTCTCTGGCGATATTTTTCCTCCTGCACGAGCTGCCACATCTCGGGGTCATCCTCTGCCATGGTCTCATTACCGGTGAGGCCAGATGCCCAGCGTGAACCTACCACAAGACATCGTAGGCTGCTGCTGCTGCCCTGTACAACACAAATTGAAGCTGAAAACTTTATTGATTTTAATTTATTGGGTAAAAATTCATACAGAACGGTCAATATACAGTAACTTAATGCACTTGATATACGATTATATATGTACTGTATACAGTATTGATCATTTACCGAAGATAACACATATAGCTAATATTATAATACTGTACCCTGTATTGATTATATTTCCAATGAGATCCTAGTAACATCAGACAGTCTATTTTGAGTTAGCTATCTATTAGCTATAGACATTCAGTCAATATGATCAAGGACAGCTGACTAAGCCATGAGAGGCTTGTTTCCAATAGTCTTTATGTCAGCAGTACAGCCTCTCCTCGACTTACGACGGGGTTCCGTCCCGACGACCAGGTCGTATGTTGAATTGGTCGTAAGTCGAAAAAGAGAAAATAATACATACATATAAATTCTAAATGGGTGTCTCTTTTTCTTCTCAGCACCACGAGAACTCACTTTTACTATTGCCAGCCATTTTAAAGGGAATTACAAACAAAAATTTTGTCAGTACACGGTGCGATCACTAACGTCGGGACTCGAAAATACGTAATGTGAAAAATATTTTATACGACCATGGCCGTCGTATGTCCAGGTTGTCGTAAGTTGAATATGTCGTAAGTCGAGGAGAGACTGTATTTGGTGATCTTAGGGCCAGGTGGTCATCCATCCTGTCAAACCCTGTACAGCACTATCATCTTAGCATTGAACAACATGAAGAAAGAGGAAATGACTACATGCTGGTCATTGGTAAGTAAATAAGTAAGTGTTGGTCATCTGGTACAGCTGCAGAAATGTGTTCCTAAACCTCCTGTGGTAACCCATTTCTCCAAATGGCCAACCATGCCGGTCGTGTTGTGTTGCGTCTCTGTAACAGTGTGTGTTGGCACTTGGGCCTTCGATGATGAGCGGCAGAAATTGGACAGTGATTACATAGGAGCATCAAGGTCGTCTTAGTGACGTGAATGTGTAAAATGATGTAGGATTTTTAACGTTAGTCATGATTGTATATTGAAAAACACTCTCTACTGACCGGAGGAATAGGCCAGGAGGTATACAACCACAAAATCATTGCCATATGACAAGATTTATTCATAAATTTTAAATGAGTTGCGTTCATGGCTGTGATTGACCATCCAAAGGCCGATCAGAGAATGTAGTACATTGTGCCTTTAGCTAAAACAGTCCATAATGGCAACAGTGACTAAAGTGGAGGCTGAAAATAAATTGAAGTGAAAAACAAAATTGGGACAAGCAATCATTCCCCAGAGCCTGGCAGTAACCAAGACATTGTTGGTGCCACAAAGAAGGTTTTTCTTTTGTGTGGGTGTTTTCTCAAGGACTGTAATTGAGCTTACTGTACGATCCACCATTCATAGGGAGATAGTGTACATAGTGATAGTACTGTATATAACAATAAATTTGTTGATGAGAACTGGAAAAGAAAATGTAAGTAATTAATTTAAAAAAAATTGTCTGGAACGGCATTTATGCTGCCACAAAGAAAGTTTTATTTTTTGTGTTTTTTAAAGGACTGTGATTCTGCATACGAGTACCAAGAACACAACAAGAGTATACCAAGAATACAACATACGTACAGTACCAAGAATACAACAGCATACGTACAGTACCAAGAATACAACAACAGTATACCAAGAATATAACAACAGTATACCAAGAATACAACAACAGTATACCAAGAATACAACAACAGTATACCAAGTATACAACAACAGTATACCAAGAATATAACAACAGTATACCAAGAATACAACAACAGTATACCACGAATACAACAACAGTTATACCAAGAATACAACAACAGTATACCAAGAATACAACAGCAGTATACCAAGAATACAACAGCAGAATACCAAGAATACAACAACAGTATACCAAGAATACAACAACAGTATACCACGAATACATCAACAGTATACCAAGAATACAAAAGTATATCAAGAATACAACAACAGTATACCACGAATACAACAACAGTATACCAAGAATACAACATTATACCAAGAACTTACCAACAGCAGATATGTAAACCAGTTCAATTTTGTAAACACCACTTCAATTTCCTACTACCTTGTACAAGTTAACCTAGTTCCCTCCCAGCACAGCCCAGACGAGTTTACTTTCACTATAATGTATATGCTTGTGTGGCCAGTTACCTCCACTCATATGCCTGAAATACTCACTCATGCACCTATCAGACACTCATGTGCCAGTCACTCATATACCGATCATACTAATTCATACACATGTCATACAGTCCTATATGCCTCTCATACACTCACTCATACTCCTGTCATAAACTCAATGATACACTCACTCATACACGTCATACATTCTCATATACCTGTCATACACTCACTCATACACCTGTCAAACTCTCACTCTTGCAACCGTCATATACTCACCCTTGCACCTGTCATACAATATCTCCCTGTCTCACACACATAAACTCACTCACTCACAAAACGCAGACACACGTATACATACATACATACTACCTCATAAACAAACAGTGTTATCTTCTACTGCTTGTGGGAGGGGATAAGAAAGAGTTAAACACGCACTACATAGGGAGTTAAGTGTTGTACTGTACTAAAAGTGTTGTAGCTGGCAAACCTCCATTATCCTTCAGCAACTTCATATACGGCACGCATATTAGGTGTTGGTGTAACGGTACAGGAGTGGGTAATAAATGATAGTGAGTGAGTGAGTGTGAGTTTTCAAAAAAGAGAAAGTGTGTTTCGGCGAGGGCCAATCAGAGATATGCTAGAGCGTCGACGGACTAACCACAGAAGGAGTAAGAGGGGCGTGTGTAGCTGTAGACCAATGAGAGGGGGAGTAAGAAGGGGTGCTGGGAGGAGGAGGAGGCAGGTGATTGGCTGAGCTGCACTACCCAAGCAAAACACGACGAATGTATGTCGCCTATGATAACTCAAGTGCGGTATGTGTAACAGTACACTATCTCTTTGTGTAAGCTGCTTGCGAGGGGAGGGGGGGGAGACAGAGGTAGGAGAAGGTGAGAGACGGTAGGGGAGGGTGAGAAGCAGTAGATGTAAGGGAAAGTGACGGACAGGGGTAGGGGAAGGTGGGGAAAACTGACAGTAAGTACTGTAAGGTTGGTGAGGTACAAGACACTCTACACACTGGTGAAACTCAAGGTCAAACACTTGAAGCAAAAACCTGTGCGAGTGCCTGCTTGCATACTTGTACCCCGCCTGTGTGTGTGTATACCATGTTACGGTATACAGTATGTGTATGTGCATCCTGCTTGTGTACGTGTGTATACCCTGCTTGTGTACGTATGTACCCAGCTTGTGTGCGTGTGTACCCTGCTGGTATGCCTGTGTACCTCGCTGGTATGCCTGTGTACCCTGCTTGTGGGCGTGTGTGTATATCCAGCTTTGAATGTCTGTATTTCAACAAGTTCGTGTTTTAAAAGAATCACATAAAATAGTAAAAGTTCACGAGACACTTCACAAAACTTTAGTATACTTTGGGACCAGTATGACCTCGCATCCAGTCAATTTGGCAAGCCCTAGTCAAGGCACTGTTGTGATCGCAGTGTTTTGATATTTTTAAACCTGGTGAATACTTACGCCCACATCATACCGTACTGTATACTGTTTTGAGTACACACCCAAGTTCATGTACTCCGCCCTCTACTGTACAAAATATTACTTCATAAATTACAAACCAAGATACATGTACTTAGGCACTACAGGACCTCCGTTACTGTACAATAAAGTACTTCACACACCAAGATATTATATTGTATACCATTCACCTGTCTACATCTACGGTAAGGTACCACCACGTGCCTCAAACTAAAAGGAACAATATGTGGGACCATTTGCCCAACACCCTACAGGATACCTTAAAAAAAAATAACGTGATGATGCTTTGTGAGATTCGTGACCAATAATATAAATTGAAACGCTCCACCACCATGAGGCAACCATTGTCACATACCGAACTCGCCAATGACAAATTATAGCCACACTTACCTAACCCATGGTGGGGCAGAGTAAAAAGTAACGTGTTTTGACAGTTTTTAGAAGGAAAATACCTAAAAAGGGGTTTCAAAAATGTATTAATAAAACCGCATGCTGTAAGTAATAAGTTAGTTGTAAGGTGGATAGATCGATAACGTAATGCCAGTGAAGAAGGGAGTAGAGGAGAGAGAGGCAGATAAGACTTCCGTTAACCTTGAAACGGCAACTGGCCAGGCACTGGACAGATTAGGGTGTCGATTACAGTTACGGTATAATAGTAACGTCAACTGGGTCCACCATACATATACTGTATAATACATAAATTAAGTAACACACAAGTTATGGTTGAGAATCTGCAATATTTTTTTTTCTTTAGCTCCACGTAGTTCATTCTAAAAACAGTCAAAATAACTTTTTTAGTATTTTGGTTGTTTTTAGGGTGAACTCCGTGAAAAGGGGAGACAGTACAGTACTTAAACAACAAGAATCTTACTCAACTTACATAAACAGAACAGTACACAAAACGAACCTTTAAGTTAGGTTTAGTGAGTCCTCCAAAACAATCGACTATTATTACATTTTACTTTTATCCTCTTCACCACTGATCGGCTCGTTAGCCGCTTGGGCGATCGGTCACGTCTCTGTTACTTTTCCTTTTCTTTTATCCTCTTCACCAAATGATCGGCTCGTTAGCCGCTTGGGCGATCGGTCACGTCTCTGCTACGCACTGTTGGCAAGTACTGGGCATGCACGGCTCACTACAGTACATGATATTGCTAAGCTAGATTACTATTAGGCTAAGACAACTATACAAAATAATACAACCACCTCAACACATTATTCCGTCATTGTACTATTCATCTCATCCACACAAACCAGTTATACTAACTGGTTACTGTGTATACCAAGGAATGGTGCATACTGTACTAACATGTTATATTATCACTATATATGTATAGCCGTAAT